CCTATGCAGACTTAGCGCTTTGAGCTCTGCCTCCTTTCCAGCTGCGCCAAATGGGCACTGGCAGTGGTCCTGAAGCAGGTGCGAATGGGCTAATCACATCTCCCACCCCCATAGAAGCAAGTGCTCTGTCTTTCTGCCAGAAAACCTATTTGTTGAAAGCTGATGTCTAGTCCTCGTCCACTTTCTTCAGGATCCTTGACATGCATCTTGACATGCGCAATGGTAGTTTTACAGTTGTGCACTCTTCCGAATCACTGGCCAATAATAAGTTCTTTGCATCGAACAGGGCCACCGCAGTTTAGCTCGTTTGTGATGTTAGTGTTCTGAACACGTGGGTCTACAATACTCGCCCGCAAAGCGAATGCTAACAATCAAACACAGCTGCCTACTTCACGAATCTTCAGGACACATCAGTCAGGATCTTCTGCTGCACTGCTTGCCCGGCCCAAGCCAGACTTGAAAACTACCCTTGCAATGCTCTTAGGTCGGAGGCCATCGCTATTAGGTTGTTGGCCATCGCTAGTAGGTTGGAGGCCATCGCTATTTGCGTGGAGGCCATTGCTAATTCCACCCGTGCACTGTCTAACATTTTCTGAGATGCCAACTCCATCATCGACTGTTGATTCCGGTCAGCAAGATGCTGCATGTCAAAAGCCCAAGGCATATACATGCCTGTCTGTGGACTTCGTGGCATGTGGTCCAACACTACGCCGATCTTGCTCCAAGGTTAATAACGAGGTCTCCTTAAGAATGTTAGAACTCAATTAGAGTTCTCCTTTTCTTTTCCCTTTTTTATTTTCTTTTCCATCCGGTTTTCCGTCCGGTTTTCTGCACCCTTCTTGCCTAAGGTGCCGCTGTGGATGGTGAAAAAGGTCCTGAGCTTTTCGCATGGCCGGTGCTACTAGCAGCAAACATCTGAGATGGTCACGTAGGGCGATAGGCCGACACTAACCTCAGACAATGAGTTTGTTTTCCTTTTGATCACTTAGGACTTCATTTCGTGTTCTTTTCTTTCTTTATGGCATTTTCTTCCTTGATTTTCTTTTTACCTTGACTGGATTTCCAATCTGGTGAACTGGATGCATGCGATGCACGCTGCATGTTTCAGTTGGAGTGTAGTGCAGGGTGGGCATGACTGAGACTTCAAGTGCTGCCGCATCTTAGAAGGAAGTCACCCAAGGCCCCTTCAAAGTCTAGAAGTAGTAGTAGTAAGTAATAAGTAGTAGTAGTAGTAGTAGTAGTAGTAGTAGTAGT